TGCTTTACACCACTGCACCACACTCCAGTGGCAGCGTGCTTTACATTTCCACTGCACCAGAGTCTAGTGGCAGCGTGCTTTACACCACTGCACCACACTCCAGTGGCAGCGTGCTTTACATTTCCACTGCACCAGACTCCAGTGGCAGCGTGCTTTACACCACTGCATCTGACACTTGGCGATGTGAAGCTTGAGCTGCTCGGCCATGGAAGCCCGTTACCTGAAGCTCCTGCTGCACAGTTTTGTTGTTCTGGGGTTAATGCCAGAGGAGGTCAGTTTGGAACAAAGTGTTTTACGCACTAAGCGCCTCAGCCCTCAGTGACCTTACAGGGTCTGCTACTTCGTAGCTGAGTTGCTGTTGTTCCTAAACGCTTCCACTTTGCAATAGTACCACCTACAGTTGACCGTGGAATATCTAGCAGGGAAAAAACATCCTTAATTGATTTATTGCAAAGGTGGCATCCTATGACAGCACCACGCTTAAATTCAGTGAGCTGAGCTCTTCAGAATGACCCATTCTTCCACACTCTTCTGTAAACCTGACTGCCTGGCTAAGTGCTTGATTTTATATACCTATGAAAATGGGTCTGAATGGCCATTCCACACATTTGTTAAATTACTTGATCATCTATTGATTAACCAGTAATAGTTTGCTAGTGGTCAAGTCAACAAACACATGATTGTACTGGGTGGTTGCCGCAGATACTGGGAGGTTTCGGAGTTGCGAAACTGACACAAAATCATATTTTTACCGCAACATGGAGAAGACTTTTGTACAGCACTGCACTTATATGTGGCAAGGCCAAACACTGCCTGTAGCTTGAGAAGTAGAGACAACAGGAAGGTTGTGGGTTCGACTCCCAGGGAGCACAGTGTGTAATCCTTCCCTTTATCGTAAGTCGCTTTGGGTAAAAGTAGTGGCTAACTTTGTTGAACTTTATTTTACATTCAGCAGTACGACCCACTGCTTTGTTTATTAATTCATTCATCAGTTCGCCATGGTGATGTTCTTACCGTTGAGCCATTTTGAGTTGTACTGCGCGGTGCGGAGTGGAGGCAGAGCCCCCAGGCTGCGGTAGATGGCGGGATCGCGACCCGAGAAGTCCATGGCCGTGGCGGCGTAGAGCTCGCCGGAGGCAGTGAGGAGGGCGGTGGAGTTGTGCAGAGGGCTGTAGGGGCACCGCGCCATGCCGCTGATCTGATCGTGGACCAGCGTCAGGTTGCTGAGCTGGAAGCGTGAGGGGGGGGGGGGGGGGAAGATGGGAAATGTCAGGAGCCGCCGGCAGGGCATCTGGGAGGGCAGGCCTGCAGGCCGCCGGGCCGACATCAACACGGACGACGTAGCTAAGGGAGGAACAAGCGGCCAAGCCTTCAGAAGAGCTCGCCATACTTATCTGAAATTATAGCCACGTACCAACGCGCTGTCAAAATAATAAGAAAGCACATTATTCTGAACAGCCGAGATATCATCTCTCAAAAGATATTGAAAAATTCATGAAGTTGACCTTTTCTGCACTTTCTATGAGCTACAATCCTGTGCTGCTACCACTAGAACACATTTCACAAACAACATCATCCTCAAAATAGCTCTATAAGCATGAAATTTTCATATTTCTGCCTTTAGTGGAGTGGAAGGTCAGCGGGGAGCTAATTGATTTTGCAGTACCGTGCGATTGGTGCAAATAGGAGTAAATGCATTCGTCCCGCAGGTAAAGAGCCGGTCCCCGTTAACAAGGAGAACACGGACGTAATTCTGACACTCCTCCTGTGGGGAGAGAGAAGAAAATGCAGATTAAGCTCAGGAAGGGGTACAACTTTGCAAACCTGCTGGAGTTGTCACAAACTTCATAATGCTGACAATGATAAAAGGTGATTCATTCTCAAAGGATAACAAGCGAACAGCCAAACGAACAACCAAACAAACAACCAAACGAACCACATGCTATGAGCTGAACGCAACATTAGAACTGAACTGATGTTTTCATTGTTCTACAAACCGTTAGTTCCACTCTTCCACGGCTAGATGGGTAGAACATTTAGTCTGATTTCACCACAGGAATATTATGTCCCCTACAACCTCCCTGCACAATGTGTTCATAAACAAATGATGGATGACTACGGCTTTGAAAGCCACCTACTTAAAACCAGATGAAAGGCAGCAAAATAATAAAAAAAACAAAAACAAATTGAGTGCACCTGAAGTGCAATGTATGCCAAGGCTGACCTCAGCCCAAATCTGAAGTGCTGTTCAATCTGGTAAACGCATGCCACAGATTCCGTGGGCACAAAGGCTTATAAAAAGCAAAGCTTTGTAAAAAATTACGCTCTGGTTTGTCTAAACTTCATAGACAAGAACAACTAAAAACAAGGCTACCCCTGATTTTTTAAAAGAAAAACTTACTAGCAACAGGAGAAACTAGTTTCCTTTAAGCTGTTCTCTGAACGGTAATAACGGGCAGATTGAATCTTGACATGCCTCTTGTTAATTTACTCCCCTTTAAGATGCTTTAAAATGCACCCTGCAAATATTTCACATGATCAGTGCTCACTCCCCTTTAAGATGCTTTAAAAAGGCCTCTCGTCTTTGGCTGTTATGCATGATTAATGCCCACTCTGGCTTCTTTTTTCAAATCCATTTGATGTTAATGACAACTGATTTCATTGCAAATTGTCAAAATCGGTAATGAATAATTGTACTGGATAATTAATTACGCCTTGTTACAGGTGGAACTGAAATATGTTTATTGACTAACCAGGCAGGTTTCTGGGCTGCCTGCACTCCTTCATGTTCTGGTACCCTTGAGCTACAAATCACTGGGCCCCGTCTGCTACCTGCCAGACTCTGCGGCGTCCATTTAAATGAAGGCGAGGGAGACGGCGGGAGCCCAGCCATCGCTGAACGGGCTGTAGCGGTGACGCGTCTGCGCTGGCTGTGGATCTCGCACATGCAGGGAAAAGCACGCCTCCGTCATACACGGCCGGCGAGCGCGGACACGGGGGCAGTACCGCGCCGGCGGGGGCATGCCCTGCCGAGACCCGATTACGACACTCCAGTGCACACAAACAGTGGGGCGACGGGCAGGGGTGAGGGCAAGCCGCAGCTCCGCAGGTCCCCTTTGTTCTCAGTCCCTGAACCGTGACTAAACTTAGACTGCAGAAGCGCCTACAGAGACAAGCTCTGTCCCGGCTCCTGTCGGGCCAGACGCCAAAGTCCCCTCCATCGACACACCATCACGTTCATGCCAACACGCCCTACGGGGCCGTCGGCACTATCTGAATCCGCTCATCCATTTGCATCACGCTCACAGTTCCTATACGGGCCTTTTATGCATTTTCTGTACCCATGACAACCACCGCTGTCAGCTTCGCCGCATGCCCGCCAGTACCCCCTCCCCTCCATAATCAATGAGGAGGTACCTTGAAGTCACCCCATGATGAGGTATAAACCCCCAAGCTGCAGGAATCCAGGGAAGTGGCTGGTTTTTAGCAAGCTCACCTCAGATTTACCGCGACTGAAGCAGGCGGCCTTGGTGAAGTCATCGCAATGCCAGTCCACGGCCTGCAGGGGGACGGTGATAAAACAGGGAACAAAGTGAGAGAATGGTGACAGGAGGGAGGAGGGCAGGTGGGGGACTGAGGACGTCTCCAGCTCAAAATAAAGAATGAAAACAGAATCACACACGTTATATGTGAGCATTGAAAGCAGATTTTAGTTGAGAATCTGTTCATTGATGGAAATTAACATGGATCATTTAAATGGCTGGTAAATGATGAATTTTTATTACTCATTTTTAAAACTCTGCTTCTGCTTGAAATCTGCTTAATTTTCTTAGTGAAACGATGTTTGCCTTTCAAGCAGAATTTTAGAAGTTTTGTGTTTGAAGTTCAGATCACCAAGGAGGAAAATACCCCCTATAAAAAGTTTGCAGAATTTCCCCCTGGGATCAATAAAGTTAATCGTAATCTTAAAATTAAGATTTTTTCAGCTGTCACACAGCTTCAAGCGATGTACTGCTCCAGCCTTTGGGAATTACGGTGCCATTAACGATAAAACACACGTTTTTTCAGAATCACAGCCTCAAGAAATGAAATTAAATCATTCTATCGAAATCCACTTTCATCTGAAAATAAATTCCACCCAAACTGGGATTTGATTCAGACAAATATCTAACTGGAAGTGATGCTAAATGGTTTTTTATATTTAAGGCAAAAGTAAGCAAAGAGAATATTATTTTTTATTGATGGTTTTCTTGGGTGAAAACGCATTCGACAACAAAAAGCAAATGAATTCCAGCCAGATGAGGTCCAGTGCGATGCGGAAAGTAAACAAAACCATCGCGGTTATTCAGGCAGCGTTTCACGCGGAGCCATGAATGAAGGGATCGAACCATTAGGACGTAGATAGGGGGGGGTGTCGGACTTCCCTGTGCAGGAATATACCAAAAGTGACAGTAACATGGCTCTCAAAATGTTTCTATGGGGGTGAGTCTTTTCTGAGAAGAGTAATTTCAATATTTGTTCCTTTAATAAAATACATTCCTATACCCCTGATTAATTCCACTGCTACTAGCTCCAAATAAATACACCCATCCATCTTCTACTTATAATGGCCCGGCTCGTGGGGTCCCAATAAATACAACCCATAATAAATCATAATAACAATACATATCAGGATGCTTTTTTTGTCTAGCTACTATTTCACTGGTTTATGTTACAAAGCAATTTTGAAAATAGAAGCAGGGTTAAAATCAACCGTCAGCATGAACTATACCGAAATTCTTTATGGAAATAATTCACCTTGACTCTTCTATTTAAAAAAAATGCCAGCGTTTTCCATAATTGTGAACCTTCCGTCAGTCGTCTCACGGGAACACGGCACGAGGGTAAACATGCCGCTGGCACGAGAGCGAATGGTGGCGCGCGTGCCGTAGGTTGGCGTTCACGCGGGAGGCTCGCGATCCCGTGACGGGGGCACGGTGGAGGTGGGACAGTCCAGAAACTCCGGGAGAGCAAAACCAAGCCGGGATCCAGCTTTTGAGCGCCTGCCAACTGAAATTCCAGGCGACATTCAGCTATTTTAAGGGCACCCATGCTCGAAAAAACAAAACATTTCGCCGCGCGCGGACGGTTTCCGCGCGAGACCGTGAATGTATCTTTTGTTAAACATTTCGCACAAATCCCATTGTTGTAAACGCATGAATGTCCAGAGCAGGCATTTGAAACTTATGGGTCCTGTTTTCTATGAATCATTCTGCTTTGCCAAATTCTCAACATTACCCCTTAAAGGGGCGTATTATTTCCGCACAGTAAACTTTTACTGCGACCACAATAAAAGCAGTCGCACTGTAGTAGAATTCATTCCCAAGACAACTTCTCCCTTCTTTTCCTCAACAGCAAAGATTAAATGTGTTGTAAAGCACTGCCTGCATTCACTTGTGACTGGGTGTGAATCACAGTTATCAGTTGACCACACATCAAAGTAGGTCTTATCTAATGGATTTTAAAGAAATCAACAATCAAGTTCTAGTAAAAAAAAAAAAAAAACAAAAAACAAAACACTAATTCTTATTTTGAAAAATAATTTGAACTGTATAATCTTCAGCCTGCCAGGCATTCTGCAATTCCACGGCCTCCTGAAGGGCAGATTGCAGTGGTTGGACCTTAATGTCATCAGATGATATCACTTGATGAGATGTTACAGAGCACCTGTATAATTGGACTCGGGCACAGTGTGCACCTAGTGTGATCGCTCATCGTACCTGGGAATAGAACACAGACATGACATCAATTATGCGACATGGACACACATGCGCACTCGTACACGGCTCATGAACCAAACCCGGAAGGAATGGATCGGTTAGGCTAGGGCTGTTCAAATCTGGCCCTCATTTCCAAATCCAGGCTGTATTTTCAGTTGTCCCAGATAGTTATTAAACTAACTACTGCTTTTGATTGGCCAGAGGCTTCACACTTGGCTCTCAGGTGAAGGAAGGCTGGAAAATCAGCATTTAATGGCAGTCTGTACCCTGCGCTTAATTGGCAGCCCTCGTTAAGGACCAAAGCAGGAAGGCGAACTGGGTCAAGCCCCCGTATGCCGCAAGCAT